TGTATAACAAACCTAATGTGGTCCCACGAGGGAGCAGGAGGGTGAATGATAACCGGGTGAGAATCCTGCGAGCACGAGTCAGTATTAAGTCGTAGGAGTTTTGTTTTCGCTTCGGCAGGTCTGAATTTCCTTACTACATTTACAGGTACATGCTGACTGGACAACTAGGTTGGGATGTCTGATCGATCAAAATGCGATTCGAGGGAATTCCTGGAGGTCAAGTTAACCAAATTGGGGTGCTGCAGTCGTGTTTCTTTTCAGTTATTTGAATATATCAGCAGGCATATGGATGATAAAAGCGTACCTTTACCCTCCGGCGAGCCCGGAGCGAACTGTCAATCGATGCACAGGAGCGATATAGTAGGGCCTTGGCGCCTAACAAAGTATATATGTCAGACTCAAAACCATATTTGAATATGTAGCTCTTGTAATCCCACACGACCATTCTCTGATCCTACACTGAATTAGCAAGCTGAATCCCCCCAATAATAATCATGCTTTTGAGCGCTGAGTATCGACGCGCCTTCTGTCCCCACAGAATCATCCAATATTTCACGCCAAAAAGCCCATCGGCTATCAATACCCGTTATAAGCCAGTAAGCTGCATATGGATCTATGGTCTCTCATGCATAGTTCTCACCTTCCTATCGTTACCCCTCATCAGACCTGGCTCGTCTGCCTATCGGTTACAATGCCTGTAAATCGGACTAGTCGTTAGTCACTAGCTTCCTTTTTCTCACTTATTCGAGTACGCCGTTCAAATGTGCTTACCTGGTTCGTTTTTTTTAGCCGACGGCCAAGCGTCTATAAATGCGGAGCCCAGCAGGGTCGTTCATCTGATTCATTTAGTGTTTCTTTTTTTTTTTTAACTTACCGTTCGATATCTGGGATCTCCTTGCGGTCCTCAAACATTTCCTAGTCAACTTTCAAAGGGTCCGCAAATATGAAAGCCGTTGTCTACACTGGCGATAGCAAGATTGTAATCGAAGATCGTGCAAAACCAGTCATTTCGGAGCCCACCGACGCTATCGTCAGGGTGCTGCATACCACGATATGCGGGACAGACCTGCACATTCTGCAAGGCCACGTTCCATCATGTACACCAGGCCGCATCATCGGCCATGAAGGAGTCGGCATCATCGACTCTCTCGGCGCCGCTGTTGCGAACTTTACCGTCGGCCAAATGGTAATAATCTCCTGCATCACCAGCTGCGGGACCTGTCATTACTGCCGCAAGAAGATGCCCTCTCAATGCGAATCCGGTGGTTGGATTCTCGGAAACAGGATTGACGGCACCCAGGCCGAGTATGTCCGCATTCCTCATGCCCCGTTCTCGCTACATGCGCTGCCGGAGAGCATCGATCAGAAAGTCGCGGTTACCCTGTCTGATACGGTCCCGACTTCTTATGAATGTGGGATTCTGAACGGTGAGATCCAACCCGGGTCTACTGTGGCAATCATAGGGACAGGCCCGATTGGGTTGATGATCCTCCAGATGGCGAGGAATCTGTTCGGTCCATCGATGACGGCGGTGGTGGGGAGGGGCACTCCCAGACTCGAGGCGGCCAAGTCAATGGGCGCCGATCATACGTTCAGTATCATCGATGGACAGGATGCTGTGGTGTCATCAGCTCTAGCGGTGACCGAGGAGCGAGGGTTCGATGTGGTTATTGAAGCAGTGGGGACGCCAGAATCTTTCGACACTGCGCAAGCTCTCGTAGGCGCTGGGGGGACCATTGCCACTCTGGGTGTCTTTGGCGAGTCGTGCGAGTTGCACTTGGAAAAGCTATGGAATCGCAATATCTGTATACTTCTCATGTACCCTCCCTGCGCTGATCATTACTGACTATTTTTTCGCTAGGTTTGAGGACTCGGCTTATTGACGCTATTAGTACTCCTGATCTGCTTAAAATGGTGGAGGCCGGTGGCATCGATCCTAACTTCTTGGTCTCGCACAGTGCGTCTGATAGAATTCTTTACCCTGGTTAATGCTAACCAAGGTGCAGGTTTCGCGTTTGACGATATTCACAACGCCTACGAAGCATTCAAGGCGTCTTCCAAGCATGGTGCCCTAAAGGTGGTAGTAACCATGCCTGAGCTTATTACGAATGGTTCTTCTTAAATTTCTTATTATGTTTGTTGTCTTTTATTGCGGAGTCTGACCGTAAATAACTGTACGTGAACATTTGCCAAGTCCTCTTATATAGCATACAGAGCGTAGAGTGGGAGTCGTATACATCAAATTTTCAAGGTATTCTGAACATGCAATCGTGTTGTTTCAGTCAAATGGAAGAGTAAAATAGGGACTCGGCGGGGTTTCATATCTTAAGCAGCGGAGTCAATAGTTATAGCTCCTTGGGCGCCTTGTAATATTTCTTTGGGTTGGTACCCAAATCTTACGTATTTCGGATTTAAATCAGAAAGAAAGTAAAGTTCATCTTATGTCTCTGGAATCTCTCAGCTCGTTTATCTTTCCCTTTCCTCATCTTCCCATTGGGCACACTTAACCTACTAACGAAGCCAGAGTTCACCACGTCATGGACCATTATGCTGAGGACCTAAGTCAATCGAAATG